AAGGTGTCGCCGCTTGGCCCCGTCCCCAAGCTGCCAGAAATACTCTACAATGATGACACCTGCAAATGATAGGGCGTGTGACGAGGCGGGATTTCGTGCGCAGTCACAACAACTTCTCCCGCCAGTCGTTGCGGACTCATGATGCCATCATTGGTGGAAAAATCCGCCTTCGCAGCACTCCAATCCACGCCCCTTCACACACCTTTTCGTTTGTAGGGATCATGCCTTGACAAAGTGACCAAAAAGAGAAACCAGTCTACTAACCGCTCGTAGCAGGTTCATTTTCACGCGGACACCATGACTTTTAAGGCTTCAGGGAGCTCCAAGCATTTCCCTGAACACTAATTCCAACGCGAATTTGTCAAGAGCAGTAAGTTCAGATCAGCTCTGGGGAACTGCCAAAGTATTTTCTCCATGGATTTCAACTAATCCACTATCAAAACGTTGTGAACGATTTTCCAGACTCTTTAATTGATAAGCCTTTAATGAACACTAATCATCATAAATACAATATAACCACAAAATCAGTTATGGTAGCAACCATAGGAATTCCTAAAAAATCATTGGGTCACGGAAAATCGTATTTAGTAATGGAAACTGAAACATTACGCATTTACTTTGACCGGGATAAAACACAACACAAAACATTGTAATCTATGAAAAAAGAGAAATATGATTACATAGGGAGCCCTAACTATTCACATAATTGCGCTAAATATTACGAGGAGTAATTTAATCGGCCTTCGTTAGCAAATTGCGGACCTAGATTATACCGTACGCATCTAGCCTACCCTCCTTACGTAAGAGCGTGTTCATAGATAGCGATCTGATCGCGCGAGAAATGTGGTCGTGAAGAATGAATGAAATCTAAGTAGTGCACAGTGATGAGTTAAGACATACTCCGTGGGTAACCATTAGTATAACTGAACATTCCTCTGTTTAAGCAAAGAAGGCGAAACGACGTAAGACGCCTTTCTACTCGATCCAATCTCCTCCCACCGAGCATTAATGGCCCAATTTTTCCTGGCGTCCTGGAGTCCGACACAGTCCTGGCCCTCTCACGATCCCCATCTCCCTTAGGCCGACTCATTCACTCAAAGGATGTGTTGTCTGAGTGCACAGCTCCTAATCCATTCTCTCATCGAGCAAGGCTATGTCGTTCAGCTCCAAGTATTTCCAGCACTTTTCTTCCAACTTTAACTGAAACCAGTTTTCATCTACGAGCCCTTTGCCAAACTCGCATCGCTCTTGTAATATTTACATGGCACGAGACAAGACTAAGCGAGCCATCCAAGTTGATCGCCCTCTTCTCTGGTCGTCGCGCCTTCCCTACCGATAGGAGAGCGCCCGCACTAGAACTCCCCTTCTCAATGCCTGGCTTCCAGAGAACGTGATTCAGAAAAGGTCTGGCCTAATCTTAACCAATACCTCGTTCCCACCACTACCATACCTGCACTGCTTTCAGAACAGGTTATCGATTTCACGCGCGTACAATCGATTTTCCATTTTTTGTGGGGAAGCAATGTCCAATATTAAGGAATGCGTATTTTGCGAATCTCATCATAACGTTGAATTGTAAAAAAAATCAGTGAAAAGCTCCACATTTGTACCTATCACGTCTCATTCATCCAATAAATCATTACAAATCAATAGTACCGTAATGCAAAAGCTGTGTAGAACTCAACGGTAATACTACAAAGCTTCCAAATCCACATGTTGAATATCCGGGTGTTTCTTGGTGATTTCTTTCTCAATTCGATCGATTTCATCGCCAAGTCGATCGATGATTTTCTCACCATGCGTCTCCATAAAGCTCTCGAGTTCTTCCTCATCTTTCAATTCTTGAACTTCCTTAGACAAGATCCGCGTTAGATCATAGCAACAGATATATAATATATTGATTGACAAAAAGTCGATAACACCTACTTTCAGGAGCGATGGCATATGAACGTCCTGACGCAGATAGGCACGAGTGATTTCTCGACCGTTGAAATCTAATTCGGCCTTAAACCGCGACTGTTCAACGCCGAGCGCCGTCGCTTTCACGTCATGCACCGATCTGAAATCCACACGGGACCACCTTATCGAACATAAAAGTTTGTGTTGTTATTCTCATTCCGAACGATCGAATAATCAAATCGATTATCTTGTCCAATTTGTGCGCCCATCAACGAGTACAACAATTTACATAATAAGGTCCTACCCCTTCCCTTAGAATTCCAAAATCTAAGGTCAGATTCTGCTCAATGATGTATTCTCGTCTATAAGACATGTTTTCAACGGAACAGTTCTGCTCTTATGTAATTTTCGTTCTAATCTACCAAATCTACCATGTTCACCTCCTCCCTGATAAAGACAGTGGGCACGATGCAGGGGGCGGGAGGTTGTCGCCCGCGTCACTGGTGGAAGGGCTGTGCAGCATTTCCATCAATGACCCGCGGCAACAACCGCCCGCCTCCAGCGATCCTGCCAGCGACCTTTAAAGTTAGTTTAGCCAATCGCACAATATGACATGCTCCATTCTTATTACGGGTATTCTGTTATTAGATATAAATATGAATTTAAACGGAATAAAAATAAAGATTATTGTGGTGTGAGCTCCATTATCAACTTACCGTATAACTGGATCATTACTCAGACGACATACGATATCATCAGTGATTCGTTTTGGCAAACTTCGTCCAACTAGATGGGCGGCGTTCGTTCGGATTATAAACGAAGCCACGGTACCTGGAAAGCATCTACTTAGCCCAGACAGGTACGCGGTAGGGTCAACACAGGCTACCGCAGTTGGACGCACGTAACAGGGCTAATGTCATGCGGATGTTCCCTCGCCACGAAGGTCCAGAGGTATTTCCTTATAAATCTCTAGCCAAGAAAGAGGAGGCTTTGCGATGACAGATATCACGAGACTTTAAGAGACCAAAAATGCTCGCCTGCGCCCTCCCACCGAGATAGTGCACCTCTAACAAGCTTTAGAGAGTGCGGGTCACCAGAATGAGCACGGCCTAGTTTCATCGCGTGCCCTCCCCTACTCCAGTAGCTTCGTATTTCTCCATCTGTCATTGGGCTGTGGTCATCCTTTGCGGCAGCGTCCACCAGCGACACTCAGCGTTTCGAGCGTCCCCATGCATCAGCGATCAGGAAAATATAGATATTGATCCAGCGAACGGCAGCGTCCACCAACGACTTCCGGGTCCACGAGTACAGCATGGGAAGTAGAAGGACTAGTAGTGGATGGGTAAGAAGTAGGGAGCAGTCAGCTGGATCAGGCGTCGCGAAGTTGTGGCGTGTGCAACCGCACCGCACTACTACGGAATAGATCGCCGGAGGACGTTGACGTTCACTGGATCGATATCCATATTTCCTAATCCCCGAGACGATGGTCGTTGGTGGACGCCGGTAGACGCTGATAGACGCCGTCCGCTAGACCAATATTCTTCTCCAGCCCTGACGCTGACAGACGCTCGAAATACTGATACTCACTTGTTGTCTCTGGTGGACGCTGCTGTAAAGTATGAACGCAGTCTTAATGAGCTCTAGGTCTGCCTCACATGTAGGCAACTACACACCATATCCTGAGAACCAAAGCGCGTTGCTACGTACTTCATTGGAACTTGACGTAGGATGCCTTTTTCGTGGGATATTTCCAATCGAAATAACTGTCATCCCGTCTTGTACCAGACATAACACGACACCAATTGCCCCACAATGGCAGCATCACAGCGAAAGCGCAGCCGTCGCCACGTTCAAATGAGGTACAACTATGCCCCCTCGCCGTCGCCGGGATACGTGAGTATACCGAACTGGGTGGATAAGCTACTTATACCTATTTGCGCAGTCACTAGGAATGTGAACGGAAAAACCTTATTACTAAACGGTAGAGTCGAGTAGAATTACTTATTCAATAAATACAACGAAAAGCGAAAATCTCATTAGGTTTCGCCATAGAGTCATGAAGGTAAACCAGTGTTATATCTCACCCTTCAACGGTTGAGGGCACTATCAGTTGAAGCCAGGGGGGGAGGCACTCTGAAGAT